ATAATAATATATCTAAAAATTATTTTAATCAAATATTTAATGAGTAGTGTCTAAGTTCGAATAACAATTCAAAATTTTATTTAAATATATATAATGATTAAATGTTTAATCAAGATATGTTCAATAAGTAGTGAAAGACTCATATTTATATATCTAAGACCTATCCCATTTTTTACTAAGGTAAGATTTGTGATATTTTATCCCAACTAATTATACAACAATATTGATGTGGGAGCCGTGACACCTCGCTTTACTAAAGTATTGATTTTTTTATAAAAATAATTTTAAATTACATAATATTATAAAAGAAAAAATAATAAAAAGAGTAATTTTAAATTTGAAAATACTATAAATAATAGTACTAATAATAAATTAATAACAGTTATTTTAAAATATCAATGTTTTAAAATATTTTCTCATATCTTACTAGGTAAAATTTTGGTTTAAATATTTTTAATTTTTAAAAACATTTGATTTTTTATAACTTAATATATACTAATATTAATATAATAATATTTTGTTAATTACGATAATTCTAATAGTAAAATAAAATTAACATTAAGAAAATGTAATATATTGAAAATAATTATTCATAAGTTACATAATTTATATAATAAAATTATCAAAATAAAATGAATATTTTTTAAAAAGTCAAAATCAAATAAATATTAATTACATTTATTAACATTTTTTTAATTTTAATGAGGAAATTTTGTAAATTATCTTCAATTTTAATTATTATTTTTTTATCTTATGCCTTTGTAAGCATTTAGAATTAATCCACCTTATGGAAATAATTTTGGAAGTTATTATTGACTTTATTCAATTCATTGTTTCATTTTTTATTACTTATAAAAAAAATTGTTTCATTTTTTATTCTTATCACTTTTTAAAGTAATTTCATAAATTTAAATTCAGGCATCACCTCTTTTTTTTCTTCTTTTTGTATCCATAAAACGACGTGGTTTTGTTTTTCCTATAAGCATAGCAGACAACCCCATTTTCTTTTGTTCAATTTTGCACTCCTCTCCTCCTTCTCCCACTGACCCTAGCGGCAGAACCCTTTCTCTAAATCCTCTCTCTCTTACTCGGTCCCTGGCGCCGTCGCGTTCTCCGGCCTAGGCCCTTCCGGCAGCGGCTCCCTCTGTCTTTCCCTTTCCTCCGTTCTTCTCTTCTTTACACCTCCCTTCTGCCGCCAGTTTCCTCTCTTTCTAAAAAAGCCTAGCCACCGTTGTCTCCTTCACTCTAAAAACTGTATAAATACCTCGAAATCTATCCTATCCGGATCACCCACCTTCTCTCTCCCTAACAATCCATTCAATCAGGTAATTTTAATTCAATAATTCTCATATAATTTTAATTCAATAATTCTCATATAATTTTAATTTCGTTTGTATTCTTCATGCATTCGTGTTTCTTTCTGATCTGAAAAATAAATAATCTTTGCTCAATTTAAATAAATAATCTTGCCTACAAGCTTTCTGCTAATCTTTTGCTACCTTACCGCTTCAATTCATTGTTTTATTATTTTTAATTTCTGTATTTGCATACCCTTTACATATTTAGCTAAATTGATCTGAAAAATGGATGGCAGATGGGAGAACTGGCAGTTGAAAAACATGTTGAGTATATTTTAGCTGTTGAAAAGGTAGGTTTCAAACTCACTAATTTTTAACATTACAGTTATATATATATAAGTTCAACATCTCAAGTTGATTACTTTGGGGTTGATTATTGTTAGAGAAAGGATAGTTTTGAATCGGTGGTGATGGACCATCTAAGACTGAATGGGGCATATTGGGGATTAACAACCTTGGATCTTCTAGGGAAGCTTGATAGTGTCAATGCAGATGAAGTTATTTCATGGATTATGAAATGCCAACATGAATCTGGTATATCTTAAAGCTTAGTTTTTTTATTGTTTAATTATTACTAGTATTGTTTATAAGTTGAAAGAAATCTAGATTTAAGATAATTGGGTCGTAAAATGAAACAAGTTTGATGATGCTTTCTTGTACAGGTGGTTTTGCTGGTAATATTGGGCATGACCCGCATATACTGTATACTCTCAGCGCTGTGCAAGTGCTGGCCCTTTTCAACAAACTAGATGTTCTTAACATTGACAAAGTTGCAACTTGTATCCTTTCATATATTCTTTGGATGACATTGTTCTCTCTTTTACTAAAGAGTTTCTATTATGATCATCCATTTTTTGGAGCTGCTTTAAAATAGTTTGCATAACTTTAATTGATTTTATTCCCAATTTAGTTGACTCGTCACTGTTGGCTGTGAAAATATAAAGTGCTTTCATGTACTTCTTGCTTTACTTAAATCACTAAGTTAGATATCACTGGGCTGCAAAATGAAGATGGATCCTTTTCAGGAGATATGTGGGGTGAGGTGGACACACGGTATGTGCTCTTCTTGGATCATATGTTATATCTGCGTCTCTTTCCTTTTGATTCATTATTTTTAGACCAAATTGATTTTCTTGGTTTAGGTTCTCTTATATTGCCATATGTTGTCTTTCAATATTACGTTGTCTGGATAAAATCAATGTGGAGAAGGCCGTTAATTACATTGTGAGTTGCAAAAACCTGGATGGTGGCTTTGGATGCACACCTGGTGGCGAGTCTCATGCAGGGCAAAGTATGTTAAGAACATTGGCCATATGTATTTGTACATTTTTACTTGCATATTGCATAGTGAAGATTGCTAATTTCTTGATTTTAGTTTCATTTAACCACGAGGTTAAAGCAAAGCACTGTATTAAGAATGAAAATCTTTGTTGAAACCTTTTACTTTGTGCATAATGACTGCAGTTTTCTGTTGTGTGGGTGCTCTTGCTATAACGGGATCTCTGCATCATGTTGACAAGGACCTTCTTGGGTGGTGGTTATGTGAGAGACAAGTTAAATCTGGAGGTCTTAATGGCCGCCCTGAGAAACTTCCTGATGTGGGTATTTCTCTTAAATTGTAGACAAAAAAATTGTTTTCTGCAGTAATGTTCTTCTGGCCCCTTCTCACCGTAATGTGGTTGTATCCTTTTAGGTTTGCTACTCATGGTGGGTTCTTTCTAGCTTGATCATGATTGACAGAGTTCACTGGATTGACAAGGAAAAACTTTTTAGGTTCATCTTGGACTGTCAGGATGTAGAAAATGGTGGAATTTCAGATAGACCAGATGATGCTGTTGACATCTTCCATACATATTTTGGAGTTGCTGGTATCTAATAGCTTCTTTTTGCTTTTTCTAACTTGCATAGTTGCGTTCAGATTTTGCAGTTTTTCCATATTCCCATATTTACTGGTCATACAGGAATCTGTTGTAGACTTGGAATTTATGTCATTGAAAAACATGTTTTTCTATTAGTTTCTCTGTTGGATTTTTATTTAACAGTATTGATGTGTTGAGGCGTTAAGGACTGTTCTACATAACAATGCCATGTACCCCCTTCCCCACTAGAGGGCATCTAGGCTGTAAGGAGTGTCATTTATAATTTCAAACCAGCCCCCCTAGAGGGCATCTATGCTGTAAGGAGTGTCATACATAATCATGCCATGTAGAATGGTTTGGACCACCCCACCCCCACCCCGTGCACACACAGAGTCATGTTAACCTTTAGTTGAATGGTAGTCATTTTCTTAATTGTTTTAATTGGGCTTTGTTGCTATTATGTAGTGAACTCTTCACATCTGCTCTGTCAGACTGTACCTTTGTTGTTTGCTTATGTACTAGTATTCTACCAGATTCGCGGTTATGGTTTTACTGTTTTTGTGAATTCTGCGTGCATAACTCTGTTCTTGTTTGTTATTTGTTGTAGGACTTTCACTTCTCGAGTATCCAGGATTGAAAGCCATTGATCCGGCTTACGCATTGCCTGTTGATGTCGTAAACAGAATATTCTTCGGCAGATAATTGACGCATCTAAATGGTGTTGCTTTACTTTGTTCCATGTTTTTGTACCATGACACCACACATTCATTTTCTGAATGCTTAAAAAGTTCAGATTGCCTTGCTGTGTTGAGTTTTTTGATATTTAAATCTACAATAAAACCTTATCAGTATTTGTTCTCACTTACATGGCATGTAAATATTTGTTTTTTATTTATTTTTAAATAATAAGCATATATCTATAATCTTTATCTATATTATGAAATTATATGTACATATATTTGATAGGTATGACAGATAACTTGTGATAGTGTTGAATGTCAACTAAGACTTGGTTAAGCTTAATGCTAGTTGTGTTTTGTGTAAAGCAATGTAGAAGCTCAAATCAAAGTATTGTACTCTCATAGATATAACAATTATCAATGAATGAAAATAAGCAAATCCTGTGTTGTGATAACTTTATTTAAGTTTAGAGACTTTTTGGGTATTTAAGTCTAAATATTAATAAGATTTCTTGAATCTGTGAATAAAAATTTTAATCGCATTTTATGACTTCTATTAAAAAAATAGTTTCTTAATTCTAATAGTATTTAATCATTTATTGATTAATATTTATAAAATTTTAAGTGTATATAAAATCATTTATTGATTAATATTTATAAAATTTTAATTATAGATAATTGAAATATTAATTATCTTTTTATATTTAATTGTTTAACTTTTAGAAACATTTATAATTTTATATATAAAGTAGTCACTCCAATGATACCACTTATGATGGTCATAATTGCCAGAAACATTAAGAAAAGAAAAAGGTTTTATGAGCAGTTACAGCACAAGGTTTAACCCTGACAACAATGTCATGTTCTGAATGAGTTACTGTTAAGACTTGATTCTCCTATCTGCCTTTGTATCCTTTGCCTTTTGTAGCTATCAATCATCATGTGAGAAAAGATATGAGAACCTCATGCAGAAGGAAAAATGTGCTTGGAAATAAGACCAACTAAAGTCTTTTAGGAAAGTTGACATGTACACAATTATTTTAGTATAGAAGGGAGGAAAAAGAATGCCTAGTAGAAACAGATTGAAGTCAACATTTCATCACTTTCAAACAATCTCCATTTTATTGTCTTTGCTTTGCTATTGACCTGTTGTAAGTTATACTTAGACAAATTGGAGCTTCAAAGCAACAAGCATCCATATTTACAACCAAAGCTTGAACCAGCAATTTTCTGGGTTTTCAATGGCAATTAGATCATGATATTACCAGACAACGGACACAAGCATAGAAGATGGATAGAAAAAAGGATCTTTGAGAGGGGGACGAAAATTGCACGGTGGTGTGCTGATGCAAACAAAAGTAGGTTTGAACTCTCATTAGAAATACTGGGCACTAGTGTTGTTGAAATGGCCTTCTGGGTACGGAACCCTTACCTCAGATCCTTGCATCGTTTGGCCAGCATTAAATTGAGATTGGTCTCTATATGAGTCAAACTGACCAGTTGTATGACCACGAGTTTCTCCACCAGCGGCTGCAACCGCTGTGCCACCATAGCCACGACCATCTTGCAAGCCAGAATTTGGATGAGAGCTGATTCCAGCTTGCTGGTATTGATGTAAACGAGCTTGTGATTCCTTGCGGAGGACTTCCTCTCTTCTATTGGTGTGTTGAGCTCTAAGTGCTGATAGCTTTTCTTGGTACCTAGTATTGATCTCCATTATTTTCTGAAGTTGCGAAATAAACTGAAGCATTAATGCTTTGCATTTAAAACAAATCATGCAAAAGGATTAAAAATCTCATAACTAATTATTACTGGTTTCAAATAGATAGCACAAATAACAACAAATTTTCATAATTAAAATAAACTATATACCATCCAATAAAACAAACACAGTAAGTGGCAAAGGGTGCTCTGAGTCCTGAGTATGTGAGACTGCATTCTCCAGGTTGTGTCCCTTTTGACAACTAAAGATTTATTTAAAAGGAAAATGAGAGAAGGTATACTGGAATGGTAGGTCTTAAACTGCTAGCCTGGTATAATATCATGAATTGCACATAATGAAATAAAAAAGGTTCAAGCATTAAAAGACGCCAAAACGGTTGGCTAAATGTGCCACGCTCACCCTCATCTGGTGGGTGCTGTATGGCTATCAAGACATATGGCCGACATAATTTGTGGAACCCTAATAGGGTTGGCTTGCTTGGCCGACCCTCTTAAAAAAAAATAAAAAAAAAAGCATTAAAAGATGCCGATTCAACATAAAATTATCTTTTTAACAACATTAAGAGTTCTTCGAAGACTGACTATCCAAACAAAAAAGCTACTCTGGCCATGCTCTAGAGCACTAAATTTCCTAACAAGGAAGACTATCTCCCTAACTTACCCCTTAAGACCTGATATTAGCTCTTGCTATACTGCAAGACCTCACTTTCTAGTCATAATGCAGTCCAACCTAAAGAACCCTCCAACTTCCTCTTGACTATTGCACTGTTAAGTATATCAGAAAAATCAAATGTGATATCAATTAGCCAATAATTAACTGTCCTCAGAAAATTCTAAGTCCACCTTACAATTGGACACTTGTGCTTTCTTGTCATCTGCAACACCATATAACATTGTGAAAGCGTCTCAATTACAAGACACAAAAAACCCCCCAGAAGACAACATTGCATCTCCTATATCATGAAATAATACAGCTAAGAAAGTACTCATGTTGCAATCCAATTCATTTCCATAATACAAATTAACAGTAATTGTTAACCACAAGAGCCGACCAATTGTTTTGCCCAGTCCATATTTCAACCCTATAACTTATCTCTAAATATTCTTCCCTTCAAAAGAAAATTGCCATATCCACCTACCAACAAAACCTGATGACATAGAATGGGGAGAATAAAAAGCATCCAAGCAACTAAATGGTATAAGGATGCTTCTCCTAGCACCCATAAAAGATCTTTATGTAACGTCTATAGGTACCCTGCAGAGAAAAGAAAATAATGAAAGCGACAAGCTTGACCAAATCTTTGCTAGAAGCATTAACCATCCCCCTTGGAACAGCTACTACTTCGTGTGACCATTCAATCTTTTCTCACATCAAGCAACTGAAAGATATTAGGCTCCCTTTGGCACTGGAAACCCATGGGATAAGTTAGGATATCTTCAGTGAGTTCAGCTTATGACCCAGCAGAACGAGCAGATCAACCCAAGCACATTTATGTTTACATGTCAATTGTGGGTTTACTGGTAGCGATGATCTATACCTAAATTCTCAAGCTCCAAAAACCAACCCTCAAAGTATGCCAAATATATGTTTTTTTCCTTCTTTCAGCATCCAACCTAGTGAAGAGGCCCAGCTGGTTAAAGTAACCAATTGACACTTTAGTCCCTTCTATTTTGGAAATTAAGACCTCATACTTCTATGAAATGTGCACTTTTGTAAAATTGTAAACATTGTTAGAACGATTCTGCTAAATTCATGACATCCCATTTTTAAGCTTACATGGCAATCTGATGTGGCATTAATCTATTTATTCAAATAATTTTAAATGGTGAAAAAATTAAAAAGAACAAATTAGCAATAATTTTTTTTTTTCATTTAATTCAAGAAAAAAAAAAGAAACAAAGAGAAAATTAAAGAAAAAACAAAGAGAGAAAATGGGAGGAACCTGAATTTGGGTGAGACAAAGAAGGAGAAATAGTTGGACTAGACTCTCTAACTTCAATTCAGTTGACCAAGTTTGCAGGTCTGGAAAACCATCCAAACTAGGCTTCAGGCAAGCCGTCAAAGAAATTCTTTCAAGAGAAAGAAAAAAAAGAACCAAGTGGTGCAGAGGCACATTAACTCAAAAAGAAAAAAAAAATCCAACTATGTGAAAAAATCAAACCAAGATATGATTCTCATACTTGCTTGTTTGTACTGGGAGAGACCAAGTCACCTTCAGCTCACATTTTGCAATGTAGCATGATGCATTTGGCCATCCACTCTTTCTTCACAATTCTATGCACAAAACCTTTTATTCATTCACCTTACTAGTAGTTTCATCATCCTAAACTTAATCAAAATCAAACTTTTCAGGTTCATCTTGCATGAGATGGGTATAAGTCTTGAATTCTGATTTTGGATGTCTCCAGATGGGTAAGAGGGAAATGAAGAAGGAATGGAGTAACACCAGGCAGATTGACTCTGATCTGTCTCGTACTGAGCAGACCAGTCACCACCTTCACCCTTCCCAATTTCGTCTCCTTCTCACTCTCTCTTCCTTTCCTCTTGTCCATCTGTTTCTCCTTCTTTCTTTCACCAAAACCCAGAATCTACCCATTATCTCCCTCTTCGTTTGTTTCCTTTGTTTTTCATTTTTTTTTTATGAGTGCAATAATTTTCTCTTTTTCTATTTTTTTATCATAAAAAATTAATTATAAACAGGGACCTATTGGATACTCTAATTGGCCAAACCAGAATAGAAAGCCATTACAACACCCACACTAAACTGATATGCATATAAAGCACTTAAAACTTAATATATACACAAAATAAAATAACTTTCTCAAGAAAATTACAATGTTCAGTATGAATATAGCTTCATTCTTCATGCTCAGAAAACAAGAGAGGAGAAGAAAGACGTGCAACTTAATGATGACTAGACCATTACATCATACTAGCAAATAGTAACCGAATACATACAGGTAAATATCATGTTGTATTCTATCTAATTTTATGATTATCTTAGCACTTTGTACAGATCATATTAGCAATTGTTTGCCCTACAACTCTGCTCCAAGCGGTAAAAAGAGAGCAAAGAGGAGACCTTAGGTATTTCTTCCATGTGGTTCACCCTAGGCAGATCTAGATGCAGGAAATTGGGGCTTATTTGTGGGGAAAAGAAAATAGTGAAAGCATTACCTTCTGATTATTTTAAAACATACTGACCTTCTTGTGTCTAGCATTTTCTTTGTCCTCTGTATCACTTTGCTCCTTCACTAACTTCATAATTTCATCATGGAATTTTCGTTCTAGACCTTCAAAAGTCAGTGGTGATGGGTTGTCTTCATATCCGATTTCCATGTCTTGCTCTTGAGACTGAGCGTTGTTTTCTACATTAGCAGAATTCTCTAACGAGTCCAGCGCCTGCCTTTGATAGTAGGATCTTGTGGTATTGAGCCCTTGCACTGAACCATAATAAACATATTTAAAACGGGTAAAAAAGTGTAGATGCAAAACCACTCTAGAGAAGGAACTACCTAGAAAAGGAACAAGGAAAAACAAAAGCACATTTTGATGAAAACACATAGAATTAACCTATGACTCAAAGCCGTTTTACTTAATGATGCAGAAAAGGCAAATAACAAAACCAGGAACACCGGATTTTATTTACAACCATCACCCAATTAAACTGAGAAACAAGTAGTAAATAGCCATAGCAAGGGTTAGACATAGAACCCAAGACAGCCATTAAGGCCCTATGTTGCCATCCCTGCACCTGCTCCTTTAAATTAGGCAGATGTAATCCCAAAAATGGCCCTGCTCTTGCTGAATAAATAAACAAATAATTGATTCTCTTGGTAAATAAAGTAAACTAGTAACTAGATAATAGTCAAAGGCATTATGCTCTAGCAAGAGAGTTCACTCTTTTTGTGCTGATAAAGTTTTGATGCAGGCCATTCCTTGACTGCCATCACTTTGTGTTCAAAGCTGGCAAAAACTGAAACACATCTCAGAAAGTCACAGGGTTGGCATCCAATTTTATTATCTTTTCTTGTTCACATCTCCTTTTCTCTCTATATGAATTTCATTGAAAAGACAAGTTAGGAAAGAGACCAAAGGAGCCAACAATGTAGGCTTCACCAGGTAACATGAATCAACAACCCATTTGACATATAACTTGTCAAAGAGAATTAAAAAGAATTAAGTTCAACCAGTAACAAATTCAATAAAGGACATGAATCTCAACTCTCAAAGCAGTTAACTAAGGGCTGAACTAAAAGAAATGACCTCTAAAGTTTCAAGATGTTCCATCTCTTGTTCTGAATAGAATAAAATGAAACTTTGACTTCATGTGTCACCCTGCATTGATTACCTAAACATTTGAAATAACTCATATTCCCATTAATCGTAATTTTAACTGATTAGCCCTCAATGGTCTGATGACTTCATCCTTGCATACCTATTCAATTCAACAGCAAAACAAAGCCTATGATATATACACACCATGGATGCACCCATTCTAGCTTCTCATATGGCACACCTGCTCTTCATCATATTATCAGACCCACTCTTTCATGTTATAATTAAGTGATTTCTCTCTCTCTCTCTCTCTTTGGTAATTTTCAATACTTTAACACCAAAATGTGAAGGAAGCACACCCTTAGATTTAGGAAGTACACAACAGATGCTCTAACAACAAAGAAACAAGAAATGGAAAAAGGATGCAGGGGAACAAAATGCTAAACACAAAGAGTCAATAAATTCCGGTCACAAGTCAAAAAGAACAAGTGCGTAAAATCTTGTGACCAAGTGAATGAAATTCTTAGCAACCAGATTAATATTGCTAGTAGAATTTTCAATCCTTTCAAATATTCTTAAATATTCAACAATTCCTATTAGCTCGAACGCAAAATGACAGTAAACACAAAAACAACACAATCCACAGCCATAACATCCAAAGCAAGTGTAGTAATATGAATAAAAATATATAACAAAAAGTGCTAGTACTTGCCTTGGTTGAATGCATTGGAGGGCATTTGATTAGGTAGTTTTGGTGCATCTCTGTTCCGTTGCCATTGACCATCTATTCTGGAAAACCTCAATTTTGCATCTTTCTCAACAGGAAAATTGTTCATTGCAGCATTGTGTTGCACTATTCTCTGAGCAGACATGTGCTGCATTTCAGATGTAGCATATGGGTTCACATTGGGATCACCATATGCTGAAGGCCTCTTCATCTTTTATTTCTTTTTCTGTTTCACCAGTGCCTGAGTTTACAAGAACCCAATGACAGGATTCCATTAAAACACATTTGGGAACTACAAACTAAGAAAAACAAAAATTAAATAAATATGATCACCGACTACATAAAAAATAAGAACAATAATTATCCCATCAAACCCATGTTACAAACAATCTTTACTTTGCAAATTGAACTACACAAAGAAAATCAAGAATGAATATTCAAAAAAACAAAGAAAAGAAAGAAAGCAATTAAAGGACATAAAGGGATGGAAAATCATGAAATGGGTGACAAGACGGTGGCGTAGCTTACCTTTTAGCGTGGCTTTTCTGGAAATGGAGCTGAAAATATTTGACGAACAAGGGTCCCGATTGCCAGCCTTCCACTTCCAGTGTCTTTACACTAGCAAGCTCTCTGGTTATGGCTTTGACCCGAAAGCCAACCCGATTTCTTATGAAGTACTTATGCCTGGTAAAGTTGATCAATGTAGGATGGTGTTAATGGACTAATGGCTAAGTTACTCTCCTTTTCTCGTTGACCCTCATAGACTTCAAGAATCAAAAATCTGGAACAAGAATCCAAGACAAAAAACAGACAACAATGAATTTGTAACTGAAAATTGTATTACATCACTTAATCCCATCGCTTGCTATTTTATATCAGTAACTAACTCCATGATTAACAAATTAACATAAATAACAAAACAACCTTCCAACTATGATTAATTTTACTATTTACAGTCTAACTCTGATTAAGTTAATTTTCTCTTGTCATTCACCAACACTTCTTTTACCCTCCTCTCAAGATCTCAAGATGTGTATGGATGTTCCAAATACTTGTCTTGCTCAGTAGAATTGGAATTGGTCAAGCAACAAATCAATCTAGTTATCACTTCTTTTTTTTAATAAAGCGACCGTCCATCTTTATATGTTTTGTAATTTTTTCATGGAAAATAGGGTTTTTAGAAATATTCTTTGTTGATTGATTATCACAGTATAACTCTACAGCATTCGGATGATCAATACCAAAGTTTTTTAACAAAAAAAGACTTCATAACTAGTAGCATGCAACTCTATATTCAACATTTATTGAACTTTTAGCTATAATTATTTGTTTTTTGGATTTCCAACTCACTAATGAGTCTCCAAGACATATTGCATATCTTATCATTGATTTTCTAGTTGTTGGAAAGTCAATCTAGTCACTATTGCAGTATGATTTTAAGTGCATATATGCTGATGATGAAAGTAAAATAACTTGTCCTAGTGAGCCTCTCAAATACTTCCAAATTCTATAAGCAACCAATAAATATAGATTTCTTGGTCTATCCATAAATTGAGACAGAGTTTGATCTCCATATATAATGTTAGGCCTAGCAAATGTTAGATACAACAACTTTACCACTAATTATCTATACATTGAGCAAAACAAAATCATCAACATCGTATGTCTTACGATTATAATCAATTAGTGTAGACGCAAGCTTGGCTTCCAGTAGCCTTTATTCTTCAATTAGATATAGTGCATATTTTCTTTGACACAGCTTAATTCCTTTGTGTGATCTAGTTATTTCTATGCCAAGTATTTAAGAAAATATTTAGACTTTTTCGATGTCTTTCAACTTAAACTTAGATCGTAAAAATTGTTTTGTTTCATTCTCAAAAGTGATAGAAGAACTAGTCACCATAATGTCATCAGCATATACAAGAAAAGCTACAAACTATACCAATGTCTCTACACATTTTGCATGCCATTACCAAGAAGCTTGTTTGAGCAGAACCCTATTAATGACCACACCCTTTTGTCACTAATCTTGCTTTCAACCTCTCAATACTCCCATTAGCATTAATCTTAACTTTGTTCATCCATTTGCACCTGATGGCCTTAAAATCAGAAGGTATTATGTCTATTGTCTAGGTATGATTATCCTTTAAAGCATCTAATTCATCTTTCATAGCATCTCTCCACTAACTATGTTGACTAGTTTGTGACAAAGAATTGGCTTTTGATATTTGGTTAAGGCAACTGTGAAAGTTTTATGACTAAAAGATAATTGTTTAGTAGACAAATGATCACTAATAGTATAGACTTAAGATATTTTGGAGGTTTTCTTATTCTTGTACTCTTTCTAAGTGAAGAATGTGATAAAGATAAAGATGTACTAAGATTAATATGATCATGCTTTAGTTAAGGTAACACAATGTCCTAGTTAAGGTTTATAAAGTTTGGTTCAAGTAAAATAGTGTCTTAGTCAAGATTTAAAGGCTCCAGTTCATGTTGTGATGAACTGAAATTGATAGGAAAGGACTGAATAGGAAATTGAAAATCAAGTAATGGATAGAAAGGTTGTGGTATAGCAAACAAATAGGAATTATGAGATATAGGTACAGCATTTGATAAGAGTTAATTGCCTTGTTGGATATTAAGGTCTTTTTAAAAAAAGGTTGAATGAGGCGGGTACATATATCACTTGAAATTTAGGTGGTGTTTGGTACTTTACAATACAATGTGATTACATATTAGATGATTGCAATGTGATTACATGTTAGGTGATTGCAAGTAATGTACTTGCTGGGAACATAACATTACATTGTTTGGTATATAAACAAAATAATGATTAAAATGTAGGGAAGATAATATTGCAGCGTTTGGTTTACAAGTATTTTGTTGAGAATGTAATGTTAATTTTCAAAATTACCCTTAGTTATTAAAATACAAGTTTAATATATTTATATTTTTTATTATTAATTTTTATATAATACCATCTCTTAAATATATTTTTAATGTCATATATTTTATTTTCATTTATTATTATAATCTTATATATTTTATTTTTAATATATTTATATTTTTTATTATTAATTTTTATATAATATCATCTCTTAAATATATTTTTAATGTCACATATTTTATTTTTATTTATTATTATAATCTTATATTTTTTTATTTCTTTAATAGATTTTTTATATTATATATTTTATTTTAATTTGTTTTACCTATATTATATAAATTTTAATTTTTTTATATTTTATTTTATTTTAATTTTTGATTCTTATATTATATATTTTATTTTAATAATTTTTATTTTAATTATAACAGTATAAAATATTTTTAATAAGGTAATAAAGTTTAAGGGTAAAATTATCTTTAAGAATATTGCAGAGTGCAATATAATGTGATTGCATTGGTTTTGGACTACAATCACATTACATCTCTCGGTTGTAATGTGATTGCATTGCAATCTTACATTGCAGTGGTCTATTGCAAAACAAATACTGTAATGTCATTTAATTAGACACATTGCAGGAAATGTGCTCTCACTTCTCTGATACCAAACGTCAATTACTGTTATCTTGCAGAGGTCTAATGGTGCATAATAAGTGACAGATGGCTTGAATAGTGTTGTCATAGGCTCGCACTTTTTGCTAGGTAGGTTTGAAGTCATAGGTTTGTAGTCCTTAAAGGACATACACCTAGGACAGAACTATCATCTACTAAGTTCATAAAGATGGTCTCATTACAATTTTCAATTGTTAAAAGCAAGGATCTAACATGGTTTGCTTTATTAGCTAGTAAGTATTTCTCTTAAAAAACAATTCCTTCATGATTATTAGTGGTGATGGCTGCAACTATCTCTATTGAATTAACAGTTAGCAAAACTTCCCTTTTGCTCAAAGCCTCAAGAAAAACTTTCTTATGCTCATGAGAAGACGTAATCAAACCCTATATGGACACATTTGCTTGGGTTTTCTCAAGTTGGGCTAACATAACATCATCTTCCTCTTTTAGTCTTTCCTTTTGTCCCTTAGCAAAACCCCTCAAATTCCCTACCTAAATGATCCCTTTCAAGATAAGCATACTTAAAACGATGACCTCCTCTTGTTAAATGTATTAGTTTAGGGCACATCTTTGCTTCTGAATCATCATTGGCTAGTCTTCCCACAAGACCATGGTTTCTACTAGTTAGGTTTTCGTTGTGTTGGTTGTGAGAATTGTTGGTGTAAAGTTGGTTTGAATCTTGAGGATGTTAGTTGATAGTTGAACAACATTTAAGTTAGGTAAACGATTATTGGCAATGTTAGGCTTGGTTTTGTTTTCAACATCAATTTGGTCATAGATAACATTCTAAGCACCAAAATCTACACCTTAATTAATTGGTAATTAAAATTTTAATTTTTTCTTGAATTAAGTAAAATTTTGTTAAGAATCAAGTATGAGGTTCAATTGGTACTTGTTAGTGTCAATTAACTAATGGCCTAGTTGATCGATACTTCCTTTTCCTTTTGTTGATCGATAGGTTAATGTTTAAGATAAATGTGAATCGAGAAAATTTTCTAGTTTTTTCTACACTTCTCACATTCATAGTGTCGATTGAACTAATCCCGATGAATTAGATAAGGAGGAATCTGGCCTAAATTTTGAAAATTGATGAATTTGGAAAATCCAAAGTGTCAATTAACACTCACCTGTTTTCATATAATTTTACATTAATTTTTAACAATTATTTGATGATTTATACTTTAAATGATAATTTTTTTTAAGATTATTTATTTCGGATGATAAATTTTAGATTTTTGTTTAAACCTCAACCATTATAATTCATTCCATTCTATCTCATCTATAAATACACCCTCCATTTCATATTTCTAACACCTAAGGCATTTTGAAATCATCTATTTTTAATCTTAGTGCTCGCTTCTTCCTCAAGACTAAAAGTTTTATGCAGGTTTCATGGCCTAAGAGATCCAAGGGATTTAGAAGAATCAAAACATCCAAAAGGTCCAAAAGATTCGAAAAGTTGAGAAAGTTCCAAAGAATTTAAGAGGTTCTAAAAATCCATAATGTCTAGAAAATCCAAAATGTCCAAATAATTCAAAAGCCCTAAAAGAACCAATAAGCCCATGGTTTCAAACAAAATCCAATCCTAATAGTCTAGACAACCTATATTGAATTCCCAATAGCCTCCATCTCTATCAAATTCAATTATGGCTCATGGCAACTTAAAATTTTGAACTTCGATCCAAGCAAGTTTGTTCCGATAAATCTAAACCCTTAACATGACAAACATGAGACACAACCCATCAATATGAATATTTATCATGTAGACATTAACATGCATGACGATATGCTTCATAAGATTATAATAAGTATAACATGTAGATATGTTATACTTATTAGGATTATTACTATAATATGACATATAGGTGCGCGTTGTTCTTAGGATTGTTAGATTGGTATGCCATCAAAATTATCCTGACAATAGCATGACATTTTTATTATGCCATGATAAAAATATATAAAGATGATAATGGGTTCCCTTTAACAAGGAACTTGTGGGTAGGACTACGCAACCAGTTGGTTGCGATTGCACAATAGATCGGAACCGTTGGTTTCCTTCACAAACTGCTCGATTTTTCAATATCAATTATGGTGTCGATCATGATTGTTGATTAATCCAACACATTGGTTTGATCGCCAAGGGCAATATCTTCTCACCCGAATTGACCAAAAAATTGATTTTTTTTGTAAGGGGAAGAAAATTCCCATTATAGGTCTCATTAAATCCTTTCCCCTTTTTTTCTTATTTCCCTTCCCCCCAAATAGTTGATAGATTTATGGCCTTTCTGTTTTTCAAATTTAAAACCCTAAAATTGAAAGCCTCCCCCCATCTTCACTTGCCATT